TGGCAGATGAGTTGTAGGATGTTGTGGTTCAGGCCTGGGAGAGGTCGAGGCTGGTGGCCCCACAGATGGGCTGGTTCTTCTCATCACCTTTTAATGATTGCATCTGTGGGGTGAGCATGTTCCTCTCGACCTTCTGCTGTGTCCCCCTCTGGACCAGAGCCTGAAGTGGGCTGGGCCTCCTCCCGTTAGGCCTCCTGCCGGGACCCGCCTTGCTTCTAAGATGGAGAGACATCCTCCCCTGACTCAGGAGAGCCACGTCCTGCCACTAGGAGGGAGGCCACTGCATGGAGCCAGGTCCTACCACTCAGAGTGGGGTGGTAAATGTGGGCCTCCCTGAGCCAACCTGCCAGGGAGGTCCTTGGTGTTCATGTCTGCGAAATGGCAATGGGGGAGCTTGCCTCAAAAGCGTGCTGGAAGTAGCAAGAGACTTCAAAGATCTTTGAAAACTTTACATGGCACAAAAAAATACAGTGATCACAAAAAACTCTCCAAGGCACATGCAAAGAAGTATGGCCAAGGATATCACCAAAGTTGTGTTATGCAAAGAAATGGGATCAACCCAGTGACCCAGCAATGAGGGACTGGATACATCAGCTGGAAACATTCAGTAGAATGGGTGTGACCTCAGCCTATTTGTCTTCTCACAGAAAGAGGCCCATCCCTACGGAGTGGTAAGGGAGAAGAGTTGATGCAAGACGATACATAAGGCATGTGCCCAGGTGCGATGCCCAGAAACAGGCCAGAGCTTATCACCCGTCTCTGGGTGAGGGGATTACAAGCAGTTTCCCTTCTTTATACCTAGCTGTGCAGGTGTGCATACAAACACACACACACACACATATACTGTACACATTACCTGAGGAGGGAAGAACAAAGGAAGGAAGGAAGGAATCTCAGGTTTTTTTAATGCAGCCTATAACATATGTGAAGGTTTCTAAAATTTGCTTTTCATTTCCATTTTTATTTTAGGTTCAGGGGAGGCATGTGCAGGTTTATTACAAGGGTGTATGGCATGATGCCGAAGTTTGGGCTTCTATCGATCCTGTCACCCAGATAGTGAACGTCTGTATCCAATAAGAAGTTTTTCAGCCCTTACCTCCTCTTCCCTCCCTTTGGAGTCCCCAAAGTTCCCATCTTTATGTCTGTGTGTACCCAAGACTTAGCTCCCACTTATAAGTGGGAACATGTAGTATTTGGATTTCTGTTCTTGCATTAATTTGCTTAGGATCATGGACTTCAGCTGCCTCCATGTTGCTGCAAAGGACGTGGTTTTGTTCTTTTTTATGGCTGCATAGTATTCCATGGTGTATACATACCAAATTTTCTTTATCCAGTCCACTGTTGATGGACACCTAGGTTTAGTCCATGTCTTTCCTATTGTGAATAGTGCCGCAGTGAGCATAGGGGTGCATGTGTCTTTTCAGTTCAACACTATTTTCCTTTGAGTAGATACCCAGTGACAGGATTGCTGCGTTGAATGGTAGTTCTGTTTTAAGTTCCCTGAGAAATCTCCAAACTGCTTCCCACAGGGGCTGAAACAATTTGCGAGGAATCTCTATTTTTAAAAAAGAAAGCTCAAGTGAGAGGAAGCAGCAGACCCCCTCCACACAGCACAGACCCCAGGACCCACATGAGGAACACAGTTCTCTATTTGAAGAGACCACTTCCCAAGGAGGTTTAGAAGAAGAAATACCTGTTAGTGTTCATTGACTTTCTCAGGAAGACCCTGGGGTCTGAGGAGAAGTGGTCTTTGAAGTAGTCGGTTCATAAGTTATTGACCGAGGGTCTAGGGGTGGAGGAAGCTGTGCCTGGCCAGCTCCGTGGCTCTGTTCTCCGGGGAAGAGTTATCATTTTGTTAAGACGTTACTCTAAAGGATGCTTTTAAGGCAATGTCCGGAATGTAGACAGAAACTAACATCTGCCCCCAGAGAGTGAGCACCACCCAGGGTTGCAAAAGCGCTCTCATCTCAGGTGACACAAGAGCCTCTGTTCGTCTTATGACTTTTATGATTTAAAATGACCTGAGGTAGGCATGCATGACAGCAGATTCATGGGGGCTGCAGAAACCCCTTGAGAAGAGAGGTGTGTTGTCTCTGCACCTCCTGTATACAGGTTGTGTCGGGGGTTTCCTAACCTGGGGGGCGGAGGAGGTGGCCTTTAGTCTGAGTGTGTTCAGTGCATGCACATTACAACTTCATCACTTCTCTCCTTCCAGCAGCCCAGCTCAGGGGCCGTGCAGGAAGCCATGGAGGCATGGCCTTTCCCTCTAGCACCAGTGCCCTCCCATGGTCCAGGCTGCCCAGGGATGTGCAGAACTGGACGCCAGTGCCTGGACCCTGAGGGGCAGCTGTGGGGGCCCAGTGGACACGTGGAGGTTTTGCACCTGCCTGGAGAAAACACCCAGGGAATGGGGGAAGGAGAGTCGGTTTTTAAATTTCATTTTGGCAGATTCTGCCTCGTTGCTGCCATTGTTACGAGTCTTGTTTCTGTTGAGAAAGTGGCGGAAGGATTTAGAAGGACAGAGAGTGAGTTTGGTAGGGAATTCAGAGATCACCAGCCAGCCTCATTTGCTCTTCTTTCTGAAAGCAGCACTGGGCGAGTGTTGCTCTAAAGCCCTTGGCCACGAGGGCCAGTCCCAGCCCTGTGAGAGCTGCCTGAGGTCCACACTTTCCCAGCCCCTTCTTAGTTTGTCTTCTGGGTGACAGACACGCCGGGGCCAGATGCCAGGCACCCTGACAGCCCCTGATTTGTGCTGGTTTCCTTTCCTGGGCCCCCACTGGAGCCTGTCCTAACTCAAGGCCTCCTCATGGAGCTTCCTGGAGCTGGGAACACAGGAGCAGGAGGATCTTCAAGGCCAGGGAGATGGAAGTGCACACAGCAGAGACGCCGTCTCACACTTGCAGAGGACAAGGTCAGCGGGTCTCAGAAGCCCCGGAAGAAATGGGGAAAGCCCAGACCGCAGGGCAGCGCGGCCACCATGCCGGCTTCTAGAGTCGGCTCGATGAGGTCAGGAGGTGTTTCTCCTGTCATCCCTCAATGCTTTTTGTGAAAATGAAGCTTTCAGCCATGGAAGACGTGAAGCCCGTGGACACGCAGCCCTCATCTGCTTCTGCAACAGTGGCCTGCCACGCTGCTGCCGTCTTCCAGTGGACGTGCAGGCCTAGCAGGAGCCTTTTGACACAGCACATCTGCTGCCTCTGCCCTGCCTGCACACTGGGAATGCCAGCACCCATGTCCCTGGCTGGTGGTCCTCACGGTGCCCAGCAGCCCACAAGCAGCAGTGGGTGGTGGGGGAACGTAGACGGCCAATTTTCAGCCACTTAAAGGGAAAATCAACTCAAAAAATCAACAAAAAATTTTGTTGCAACACACTATACATAATTTCATGAGAAAATCAAGTTACGCATAATACAAAGCGATTCGGAGTCCCCTGATAACACTGAGAAGACCTGAGCATTGCATCCTCCAGCAGCTGCTAAATCCCTTCCTACCTCCTTAAAAAGGGAGAACATCAAAACACTCTCCTTATGCACCTGACTTCAGAACGCCACGACGGTCGCCACGCTGCGTTTGCCTAGGACCCAGCCAGTGCGGGCTGCTCGGAAGCCCAGTTCCTTCCTAGCGCAGGGCTGCACACTGCCTGCCGCCCTCCGGTGTGGGCATGAGTGCCTGTGTGTGGTTTACCTCGAGGACTCTATGCTTTGACCACGATACTGCATGACCCAGTTCCCGAACATACGAACCAACGTCTGGGCCTCAGTGTGACTTAACACCAAGGGCCCAAGATGGCACTGGGGGCATCGGCACTGAATTCGAGCGTGTGGTTGAAAAAGCCGAGCGTGGGTTCTGCTCAGCTCCTGGAGGGAGGCGGCCGGCTCCTGCACGGTCTCCAGGCCGGGAGGACTCCAGCCAAGCTGAAAACACTCATTTATTTGAAGCTGCTGCTGCTTTGAGACACAGAATGACACATCTAAATATTACAGCTCCAAGAGGTATGTAGCTGCCTGTACTTTTCTGAGCAAGTATCTGACTGCCGTGCTAGGAAGCAATGTGACAGGTATTCTGTAGTTTCAAGCAAATTGGTTTCAGATGTAGATGAACAGATTTTCAAAAGGAAAGGATGGAAGTTTGTCATGTGCTGGGCCTGAGCCTGCCAGGTGCTGCGAGTTCGTTCGTTCCTGGCTAAGGATGGAAGCCGCCATCTCCTCCCCCTCTCTCTTCTCCTCTACCCCTCCCTCCTCCAGGAAGGCTCCCCAGAAACTCCATTCCCTGAGCAGGTCCCCCGGCTTGCCTCCGCCGGCATGGACTTCCATCATGCAGGTTCTGACCTCCAGGCTGCAGTGGAGCCGTCGTGGCCTTCAGGTTTCAGTGCTCAGAGAGACAGTGCCACATTTGGGCCATACCTTTGCAGAAGCCCCACAGGTTGGGAACCTTTGGCCCATTGCAGTGGGGAGTGGGAGATGGGGCAGTCATGCTCGGTTCAGGATCAGAGTCCAGCTCATCCACTTTACAGACAGTGTCTTGTGTGAGCTGTATAACCTCTCCATGCCTTGGTTTCTGTCATGGATTGAATGGGGGCCCTCGCAGAGAGAAATCTACATTAGATCCCTGGAACCCATGAATGTGATCTTATTTGGAAAAAAGGCCTTACCAGATATAATTAAGTTAAGGAGCTCAAGATGAGATCATGCTAGATTATCCTGGTGAGTCCTAAATCCAATGACAATTGCCCTTATAATAGACAGAAAAAGGCCGGATGCAGTGGCTCACGCCTGTAATCCTAATACTTTGGGATGCCAAGGCAGGAGGATTACTTACAGCCGGGAGTTGAAACCAGTCTGGGCAGCTTAGCAAGACCTTGTCTCTTTAAAAAAGAATTTAAAGATTAGCCAGGCAGGTGGCACACACCTGTAGTCTCAACTACTCAGAAGGCTGAAGATGGAGGAGGATCACTGGAGCCCAGGTGGTCAAGGCTGCAGTGAGCTATGATTACACCACTGCACCCCAGCCTGGGCGACAGAGCAAAACCCTGTCTCCAAAAGAAGAGAGAAAAGGAGAAGACACAGAGACCGTAGAGAAAGCCATGCAAAGACAGAGGCCAAGAAGGAAGTGATGGGCAGCCACCAGCTGAGAGACACCTGGAGTCACCAGCAGCTGGAGGAAAGGAGGCTGCTCCCCTCACACCTTTGGAGTCTGGCTCCACCAGCGCCTCGGTTACAAACTTCTGACCTCCAGAACCATAGGAGAAGATGTTTCTGCTGCTTTCATCCACCCGGCTGGTGGAATTTGTTGCGGCAGGCCCAGGAGCTCCTGCAGCCACCTCACCTGCAGAACAGGGACAGCAGCGGCCGCCCTCACGAAGCCATGCCCAGGTCGCGGTGAAGGCGACCTGGCTTCCTGGCACGTGCTGAGTGCTCAGATAGTGGTGGTGGCTTCAGGTCAGATTTTTGCATCAGACAAGTCCAGTTTCCAGTCCGTAATTCCTGGCTGTGGGACCCCCAGGGATGTATTTGCTCTCAAAAGCCACAGCCACCTCACCGGAGGAAAAGCAGGCAAGTGTCCACCCTGTGGGTTTTCTTCGGCGTTTAATGGAAAGTTCTTTCCATTGCCCGTGCAACGTGCCTGTCATTTTGCATGACGGGTAATGCCCAGACCACTGACTTCAGTACCCTAGGCCGTCCCTGAAGGGAGGGTAATTCATGTGGCCTCTTTTCTGGGTGGAAAGCTGTTGAAAATGGAGGTTCGTGGGATTGTGGTGTACACCCGGCATGGATGTGTATCATCGCAACTGGGTCTTTGACAAACCTGTAAACGGGGTTGCAGCTTAAGGTGGCCACCCTGTGAGACTGTGCCCTATGCCAGGGACACTCAGAAGGGCCTGTCTGACAACAAATGCCAGGGGCATTTATGAGCCACATTTTTAAAAGCAGCAACAAATAAAGATTCCCAAAGCCCACGCCCCCCACCGGCTAGGACTGCCTCTGATGTCCACGGCAACATTCACAGCTAAGCTTGGTCACTGGGGACATGTCTTTGCTCAAAAACAGCAAGGTACATTTTTAATACTAATGACATCAAAACGAATCTTAAAGCCACTATAAATAAAGCATTGTAGGGCCAATGCAACAACAGACAGAAGCAAATCAATGAAGCCAACTGGCCCATCCAGAAACAGCCGCGGGTCTGTGGAATCTCAGAATGTCATCATAGGGCATTTCAGTTCAGTGAGGAAAGGAGTCATTTAATACATGGTGTCAGGACAAACTGGCCAAGCTTTTGGAAATAACACAATTCCAGAAACCTTAGGGTTCTAAATTTGTTAAACTGTGTTTTAATTGTTATTGTATCAGCTGAAAATATGAGAAACTTGCATCCGTATCTGTATTTGCAGGAAGCGTCTTGAGAACACAGCAAGAACTCGGAAGCCATAAAGGAGAATGTTGACTTGCCTGACCTCATGAACCTGTTGGAAACAGAAGACAAATGGTACCCTAGGAGAAACCATTGGCAATGTGTAAGACAGAAAGATTGTGTCCACAATATATAAAAAACTTCTGCAAATCAATAAGGAAAAGGCAAACCACCCAGAAGATGGATGAGCAAGGAATATAGACAGGCACTTCGTAAAGGGAAACATAAAAGCAGCAGCTGGAAGCCTCTAGAAAGAGCAGCAGAAGGAGCCAGTGAGCTTGAGAGTGATCATCTGGAGTGACCTCCAAGAGACCTCCCACCTCACAAGTGATCGTAGCATCACAAATTAAAGCAGGAGACAGCATTTTGTTGTGATCTGGGTGAAACATGAAAATGTGTAATTCTTTGTCCACAGTGTAGAGAAGGGGCAGGCATTCACTGTTGGTAGTAATGTTGGCATGTTTTTGGAGGGTAGTGAGGCAGGATTTATTTAAATGGTAAATGCCTATGCCGTTTGACCAAACAATTCCACTTTTAGGAATCTATTCTACAGAGCTATTTCCATAAGTATTTAAGGCTGTAGCTACAAGGATACACGTGGCACCATTGCTTCTAACAGCAACAAATGGGGAACAGCATAAATGTCCCATGGGCATGGGGTTGGCTGGATACATCCCAGTAAATATGTACACACAACACAGAACAATTCTGCTATGAAACGTGGTAGAGTAGACCTCTATTGACTGACATGGGAGGGTAGTCATGACTCACTGCTGAGTGAGAAAGACATATAAGAAAACATCAGGCTGGGCGCCGTGGCTCACACCTGTAATCCCAGCACTTTGGGAGGCTGAGGTGGGCAGATCACAAGGTCAGGAGATCGAGACCATCCTGGCTAACACGGTGAAACTGTGTTAAAATACACAAAAACAGTAGGTGTGGCAGCAGGCACCTGTAGTCCCAGCTGCTGGGGAGGCTGAGGCAGGAGAATGGCATGAACCCGGGAGGTAGAGCTTGCAGTGTGCCGAGATCGCACCACTGCACTCCAGCCTGGGTGACAAGGCAACGTTCCGTCTATTAAAAAAAAAAAAATCAGGTACGATCAGTGGTGTTTTATTAAACAAAATGTTTAAATTGTGCTTACAGACATAAAATTGTGGAAAAGAGATCAAATTCTTTGCAGGAAAGCATCTTAGTGGAAGTTGGAGGGTTGGAGAGAGTGGCTTTGGTTGTTTGCCTATGTGTGAGTGAGTTGGGGAGAATGAATTTGGTGTGTGGACCTATGTGTGAGTGAGTCACGGAGAGTCGCTTTGGTGTGTGGGCCTGTGTGTGACTGAGCTGGGAAGAATTGCTTTGATTGTGTGTCTATGTGTGAGTGTGTCTGTGTGTGTGTTGTGTTGCTTTTCAGTGTTATTCAACTCTTATAAAAATGTCTGTATTTTCTAAGAAAGAAATAGTTATCACTTTGAAAATATGATCCATGATTCTGTTTTAAAACTATATATATATATGTCCATGTTGTAACATTTTTTAAAAAGACCATCTGCAGAGCAAGATGCTATAGTAATTATCCTAGAACGAAGAAATCAATTCTTTTTTGTGTGTGCTTAACTGTATATTGTCAGTTTTTGCAATGGAAATGCATTATGTTTGTAATCATAAAAGAACACACTTACTGGATGAAGAGGGAGGACCCTGATATGTGTACTGAGAAGACAGCATGGGCCCGTGCATCCGACCACGCGATTGGTGTCACGTGCTTGACCAGCTGTTTATCAGCTTTGCCCCTCCACTTGCAGGGTGGCTGAGCGCAGATGCTCCAGGTGAGGTCATGCCCAGCCTGTCATCAGATAGCACATCAGCATAAATGCAGTATCACTTCAGGGCTATGAGATCTCAGAGGGAGGGGAAAGGGTGAACTAGACAATCAAGAGGGGCTTCCTGAAGGAGGTGGCAATCAAACTGTATCAGCTGGAGCTGGGCAGGACGTAGATGGCATCTTGAGTAAAAGAAGCAACTGGACTCTAGGGAAGAGAAGAGGAGGGCCCAGGTGCCACGGCCCCTACAAGACGAGACTAGGGGACTGGAGGACCAGACTGGAAGATGGCCGACCCCTTTGCCATGAGCACATGCAATGTGGGGCCAGTTCTTAGTGACATTTCAGATGGTGGCCAGTCAGAGGACAGCAGGACGTGGTGGTCGTCTACTTGCTGCCACAGAGGACACAGTGGGCCCAGCACCCCAGCCACATGTGATGGAGCCTCCAGGCCTGCCCAGCACCTACTGCCCTGGGACAGGCTCTCTTTCAAGTCAGCTCCTCTGTCCATGAAGCATCTGAGAGGCCCTGTGGTCCTGGCCGAGGAGGCAGGCCATAAGGAGGGCAGGCCCGAGGACCCAGGTGTGGGCACACTCCGTGTGGAGTGGTCTCTGAGTCCAGACCTGCAGTGCCTGTTTCCTGTGCCCTGGGGACCTGGAGAACAGAGGACCGATGGGCACTGCAGCAGGGCGGAGCAGGCCTGAGCCCAGCTCGAGGAAAGCTTGCCTTCTCGTCTGGTATCCCCGTGTTTTACATAATTAGGTAAGTCACTTAATGTCGCTGTGTCTTGTTAGAGAAGCTACTAATCCTTAGAGCTAACAGAACTAACTAATTAGTGTAGAACACTTGGAAAATATAAGAAATTCAGATGTGGAGTGTAATTTCCCAGTCCTCCCGGCATTGACGCTCGCACAGTGTCGCAGTGTCCCTGGTAGAGCCGCGGACCTGGCTGCATCGAGGAGGGATGGGTCTTGGAGGCGGTGGCATAAGTGAGACACCGTACTGAAGCCTCAGGGCTGCCGGCCACACACCCTGCCCTGCTTTGCCGGCTGAAGGCCACGGGGGGACAACAAGAAGGGAACTAGCCAGGGGCCACCTGCCTTGCTACCCCGGGACCTTGAGGCAGGGGCAGCTGGGTCCCAGGGTAGGGGACCGTGGGCTCAGAGCCTGTCGGAGCCACAGGGAGGTGCTGAGATGGCCTGAGGGCTGGATCTTCCCCCTGGGAGGGGCTGGGCTTCCACGAACTGGTGGTGGCTGAGGTCAGGAGAGCCGGATGTGGCCAGCCCCGGGTTTGGCTCTGGGCACTGCCCGTGACTGGCCGTGCCTCAGCAAACCTGCTTTGCCCTCCACCTTCTCTCCCCTGAAATGGAGCTAATGACGCCGCCTCGCAGCTCCTCCAGAAGGTAAAGAAGGGATTGTGGGACACCTGGCACACAGCCTGGTGGATGGCACTCACTGCTGTTTTCCTCTGTGACAGAGAACCACAGAGGTTCCTTCACAGTTGGCGAGCTGCTCAGAAATGATATCCGAGTCCGAGGCTCGGCCTTCACTCGCTCCGAGCTCCAGCGGTGCCTGCAGCCACCTGTAGGGTGTGCCTTTTCCTCTAGTATTATTGGAAATAAGATAGACGATCGAGTGTTCACTTCCTAAGGATGTATGGAGCTGTCGGCAAATCATTAATCTCTCTTTAAACCACGGTGACAATGTTTACATTTAAGATCAAGATGATGATTATCTGAAGAACTCCCCTGGAAGCTCTTCCCACAACTGGAAAAACACAGCAGCCAGTTAACAGAGGCACATCCCGGGCCAAAATAACTGCCTGACAGTCCACGGGGCCAGGAGTCTACAGGGTGTTGGCATGGGGAGGTGCGCCTTCCGGCAGAGGCTAGAGGGCTGCTGTTGGCAGAGTAGATCGAGCCGCCCGGGGCACAGAGTTCAGTCCCAACCTTGCAGGAATGTAGTTCTCACAAACCAGCTGGAGAAAAGCATTTCTGAAAAGAACTGTTTTGAGTTATTTAAAATAAAAAATAAAAAAATTGTGGGCCAGGCACGGTGGCTCATGCCTGTAATGCCAGCACTTTGGGAGGCTGAAACAGGTGGATCACCCGAGGTCAGGAGTTTGAGACCAGCCTGGCCAACGTGTTGAAACCCCGTTACTACTAAAAATAAAAATCATTAGCCAGGCATGGTGATATGCGCCTGTGGTCTCAGCTACTCAGAAGGCTGAGGCAGGAGAATAGGTTGAACCTGGGAGACAGAGGTTGCAGTGAGCCGAGATCATGCTACTGCACTCCAGCTCGGGTGACTGAGTGAGACTGTCCCAAAGAAGGAAAAAAAAACAGAATTTGTGCCCAAATGGTGCAGAAAACAACTAAGTCACAACAGAAGTGAAAAGCCAGGTAGTGGGCGTGCTGGGCATGGCCTGGCCAGGCCTTGGTTCCGAGAGAGAACCTCCGTGCTGTCCAGCACTGGGGGAGGCACCCTTTAGGAACCACTCATTTCAGTCTTTTATGCTCCTCATGCTGCCGCCAAGCCCGAACGATCGACCCAGGACTCTCGAGGGTGTCCCTTCTGCAGGCTGAACACCTCAGCGTGATCTGCTCAGGCCGCTTTCCTCGTGTCGGCCTCTACATCTGGCACTGGCATCTTTAGCAAGTGTTTTAGGAAACAAGTAACATCATCAACAAAAGCCAACACGTCTGCTCTTTATCGAGCACCTCCACATATATTGACACCCCTGACGCCCACAACATCCTGTCAGATACTGTATCTCCGCTGCCCCAGAATCACCTCACTTTTCACCAGGAAGTCTAGACTAGGGCCTGAAGCCATCACCCCAACATCTGTGCTGATCCCACTAGGTAATGACGACCCTTCCTTATTCTAGAGTCAAGCCTGGATCCCCTACAAATACCCACGCACACTTAGAGCTCACTCTGGTTAAATGTTCCAAGAAGGACGTTGGATGATCACTTGGTATCATCCCATGGAGGTGAGGATATGCCCGCCCTCTGAGCAGCCATTCCTCTCCCGAGCACATTCCCCTAGAGAAGCTCTGCACGTGTGCACAGGCGCCAGCTGCAGGAGTGCCATCCACAGCACAGCTGTTTATGAAAAACCATGATCAACTCAAACGTGTATGGAGAAAAATGAAGAAACGCATAGTGGCATGTTCACATGATGAAATACTATGCAGCTGAGAACTTGAACAATTGGAGCCATTAGCTATAGCATGAATGAAGCTGAGAGTTTGAAGGGTCAACCAAGTAAGCTGTAGGAGAGATTACATGTGGTGGAAGTCTAGTTTATACATCTCACAGACAAGCCTTCAAGAAGTGTATCCCTTGAAACAAATGTACACACACAATTATACACATAGGATAAATCCTTTTAAAATGCAAGGAAATGATCAATAAAAACAAATGTTCCCTCTGGGCAGAGGTGGAGGGCAGTCCATCAGATCAGCAGGAAGTTGATCTGGTTTTGAATTGGGTTGTGTGTGCACTGGAGTCAAATATTATTTTACAGAAAATATTTCATATGTATTTTATGCATATTTGCCTTTTTGTATCAGATATTTCACAAGTTTTTAAAAATGTGAGCAGGTCATGAGGCCGCTGTCCAGGACAGCAGCGTGCCCGTTTCTGGTGACACTTGGTGCAGAGGGTAACTCCAGCAGCGGTGCATGCTGACCCCTCCAGCCAGCCCTGGGCAAGGGGTTTCCTCCCGGCGCAGCGGTTGAGCAGAGCTCCAGCTGGCGAAGGACCCAGGCTCTGCCAACATTGTAGACGTCCCCTCCACAGGCCCTGCGATGCCCTGTGCAGAGGCAGAGAGTGACCAGGAGCAGTGGGCAGAGCCCGGGCCCGCCTGTCCCGGGAGGAGCCTCAGGTCCTCTTTGGCAAAGAGCAGCATCCGGTAGCTTGAGAAGCTGCGCAGCTGCTGCTGGGTGCACCCTGTCACTCAGCAAGCCAGCTGCTCCGGAACAGGCACTGCTTCTAGAATCCATCTCCCTTCTCACAGGACCAGATGTGTCAGCAGGTGGCAAGAACAAGTCCAACCCCACCTCACAAGGGCTTTGACTTTGGGATTCCCTACCTGCAGGGCCTGGGTTTTGGAGAACAAGGCTTGGCCCCAAGAGTATTCAGATCTGCAGCCGAGCAAGATGGGATGCAGCGTATCTAGATAGATAACCTCACCCCAAACACAGGCTTCGTGCATGGACCCGGTGCGAAGGGCAAAAGTTATGAAGTATCACTTACCCAGTGTCCCAAAGAGCCCTTCAGGCCTGGGAGGAAATTCTCAGGAGAGCCTGTGGAAGAAGGGGTTCAGTGGAGGGACGCTGCTGCCTGGGAAGGACCTTCAGCCCTTGCAAAGGCCATGCCTTCAGTAAACTTCACATTAAAAGACCCACCGGTGCACGATGGTTACTGAGACTGGTGTTTGCTAGACCTTTTCTCAAAAATGAGTTAAGGCAGGGCACAGTGGTTCATGCCTGGAATCCCAGCACTTTGGGAGGCTGAGGCAGGTCGATCACCTGAGGTCAGGAGTTCAAGACCATCCTGGCCAACATGGTGAAACCCTGTCTCTACTAAAAATGCAAAAATTAGCCAGGCATGGTGGTGTTATGCCTGTAATCCCAGCTACTTGGGTGGCTGAGGCAGGAGAATCACTTGAACCTAAGAGGCAGAGATTGTGGTGAGCCGAGATTGTGCCACTGCACTCCAGCAAGACTCTGTCTCAAAAAAAACAAAAAAAAAACCCATGCCATTCTTCTTACTAATTTATTTTGCTATGGAAAATACAGTTTTTAAAATTATATATGCTGCTTGTTAATGGTGTTTTGTTATTTTTAACAAATTAATACTTTTTCTCAGTTTCATTTTCCAGTATGCTATCAACAGACAGAAACCGCATATCTATTATTGACAACCTCAATATTTATGAGTATAAAGGTGAAGAGAGCACATGTTCTAAAAAGGGCAGTGGGGGACATTCATGCTTAAGAATTTCATACCAAAGTTACATCCAAAGAAAATGATGTTACACAAAGGAAATAATCAGCAGAGTAACAGATAACCTGCAGAATGAGAGAAAATATTTTCAAATTATGCATCCAACAAAGGACTGGTATCCAGAATCTACAAGGAACTCTAACAAATCACCAAGAAAAAAAACAAATAATCTGATTTAAAAGTGGGCAAAGGACATGAATAGACATTTCAAAGAAGGTACACAAATGGCCAAAAACTATGAAAAAATGCCCAACATCACTAATCATCAGGGAAATGCACATTAAAACCACAGTGAGATACCACCTAACCCCTGCAAGAATGGCCATTATTAAAGTAAAAAAAAAAAAAAATGTTGGCATGGGTGGGGAAAGAGAATGCTTCTGCGCTGCTGGTGGGAAGGTCAATTAGTACAACCACTATGGAAAACAGTATGGAAATATCCCAAAGAACTAAAAGCAGATCTACCATCTGATCCAGCAATCCCACTCCTGGGTATCTAGGAAGAGAAGTCATTATATGAAAAAGATACTTGCACACATATGTTTATAGCAGCACAATTCACAATTCCAAAGATGCGGAACCAACCTAAGTGCCCGTCGACCAATAAGCGGATAAAGAAAATGTGGTGTCTGTACACCATGGAATCCTACTGAGCTGTTAAAAGGAATGAAACAATGTCTTTTGCAGCAACTTGGATGGAGCTGGAAGCCATTATTCTAAGTGATGTAACACAGGAGTGAAAACTAAAAACCATACGTTCTCGGTTACAAGTGGGAGCTATGAATCCGCAAAGGCATACAGAGTGATATAATGGACTTCAGAGACTCAGAAGCGGGAGGGTGGGAAGTGGGCTAGGGATAAAATAAAATAAAAATAAAAAAAAACACATTAGGTACAACGGACACCACTCGGATGATGGGTGCGATAAAATCTCAGGATTTTGTAATTCATCCATGAAACCAAAAACCACTTGTACCCCAAAAGCTATTGAAATTCAAAATTTTTTTAAAAATTAAAATAAAGGATGCCACGTGGTTAGCCATAGGAGTTTATTTCTCAACTCTGATGAAATGCCACAAGCATCACCTTTTCCCAAGTCTCCCTTCTGTGACATGGCATTTGAAGCAGCATCCCAGGGTCGGGGTGGTGCCCAATGTATTACTAAGCTGCATTATTTGGTAAGTCAGAGATGGATCGCTTCCAAACAAGCTTACCCTTTTCCATAAAGATGAAAACACCACCACCAAAAAAGAAAGAGATTTTTTGAGGCAACAACCCCCGCCTGCAGGCTGAGGGAGCTGTCAGCATCGTTCATCCTGATGTTCCCTGGGCTGGGGGGAGGAACTGGCAGCTGTTCGCCAGTGATTCCGTTTTTTTCGTTGTGTGTTTCGTAAGTGGTTTTTAACCAGGCGCCCTTAAAATGTATTATTGTGAGAAAATAAACCAAGAAACAAGGGGTAGTAATTTAGTACTAGGAAGTTAATTCTGGAGACCTCCGACCTTTCAGCAGTCATGTGGCTATTGATTTTCAATACCGTGAGGTGGCGGCCACCCTAGGCGTGGGGTTCAGTGGATTCCAAACAGTTTCTCCCTTATCAGTTGAGTCCCTGAGTACTTGAGCATTAAGACAACAAATGTCCGGAGTTAACGGCGTGTCACATGGCAGCTGGGTGGACGTGCCAATTTTCTAATGAAGTTGGGTTGTTGGCAAACACACCAGTCATCATATATTGAAGGAGGTCTTCTTTTGTGTATTTCCAGCACTCTTGAGTGCTTCAAAAGATACCAGTTACATCATTGTCTGAGGGCACCAAGGGAGAAACATCCATCCCCTGCCAAGACAAACACGAGCAAAAGCAGAGTTAAAACCAAAATGGGGCTGGGTTTTCTTGGAGGTGTTGGAAATGTTTTTTTCCAGTTGTGCTCAATGTGGGGATATTCGGAAGGAAAGCAGGGGCTCCTAAGCCCTTGTTTCTCTGCAACAAGAGGCACCGGGATCATTCCTTGCTCCCAACTTAGCTTGCACTCTGTGCAGGAGAATCAGCCTCATTTTTCTTCATATTGAAGAAAAACAGTCAGTGCATTTTTGGGTCCAAGCCACTGTGTAGCGGAGGGATGACACAGGCTCTCAGAGAAGCTGACCGCATCTACACCTCAGCAAACTCTGGGAGATCCTCACTCGCCCTACCCTCTTCCCCCGCTCCCCACCAATAATAAATTAGGGCTGCCATCTTGTATTGATTATTGAAAATGTTATGTCCACGGGAAGAAAATGCCATTGCTTTAAATATCAACATTATAAGAGATTTAAAAGTTTTGTTTTGTTTTGTTTTACAGAAATGTGTGTGTGAAAAATTTTTAAGCAGTTGAAAAGAGCAGGGGTGTGGTGGGAAGAATTATTAAACAACAACAAAAAAATCAATCCTCGGTTTGGCCTGGCCAGATGAGCGTTTCTCGGCTCAGGTAAGTAGTTTAAAGTCAGACACGTCTCATACTGGACTTTTTAGAGGAATGGCAAAATTTATAATGAAATTCAACAAGGAAACTGGAAAAACAGCCAAATTGGTGCAGCAAAGTGGTTAATAGGATCATTAGCCTTCTCGCTGTATTTTTTTGGACATTGTGTGCCTGTACCGCGGCACTCGAGAGCAGATTGCAGGAACAGGCTGACAGTTAGGAGCTAGCTCAGCAGTGCTGGGTACAAACTGCCATCTTCCTGTGGATTTACAGCTGCCACTTCTGCTACTTCAATTAGTTCTATGGCACACAGATGTTGCTTAAATGTTGCTGCTAATGATACTGCAATAAGCGTAAGATTCATGCCATATTTTGAGGCACGTAAATTTCTCAAGTGGCACAATTAAAGTGGAAATATTAGGTGGTGAGAACTTGGCAGTCTCTCCAACTTGGAAGGCGCACCCGCTATGCAATAATGGGTCAAAAATTCATTCAAGTTTTACTGCTGTTCCGAGTTTTAAAAGACTTTTCACAGTTGAATGCAAAGTAGTAAAAACCAGGGTATTAGGAAATGAGAATGCAGTTGTTATTCAGACATGACTTTTAATTTCAAATTGAAATCACATGCTCACTTTTCTGGATATGACCGAAGGGAAAAGGTACAGGCTGAAGAGATTTTGTCTTTAAGGGTAAAAGTCCTGAGTGGAAATGAATTTGTTGCTGGGCCAGCCTCAACATCAGCGCTGCCCGTGAGTAAGTGTGGCGATTGCCTCCCACCCAGAGAAGCAGCCCTGTGCGTGCTGGAAGCCAAGTTCATAGCAGCTCTCTCTCTGTCCACCCCCGACAGGGGCTCAAACCGGAGACTGGGGAAGTGTGTTGGGACAGGCACACATATGCACACATGTGCACACTGTGTCTCTCCAGTACAATGCATGCATGCTCGCACACACACACGCTTGGTCTCTGCCTCTTATACACACACGCACACACCTGGTCTCAGCCTGTTACACATTCATGCACACACGCTCCATCTCTCCGTCTCTCCCCGCTACGCATGCACACTCGCACATGCATGCACGGTATCTGCCTCTTGCACAGGTAGAGAAGAAAAAGATAAGCGGGGCTTCCAGGAGTCTCGCTTCTGCCTGCACGGAGTCTCCATTAGAATTTCTGTCCCTCATTTGTCATCCCAAGCACAGTCCCCTGCCTGTCGCCAAATTTTCTTTTCCATGAAAAATCTCTCCTTCGGAGAAGAGCTTCTCACTGACTGGTTGTCAAATACACTTTTGATTTTCTCACACACTGACTTAAAAGGCAGGCAGTTCGGGGCAAAGCCGGCACCCAGTAGGCCTTTCTGCTGCTGGAATCTTTGTGCAGGTTGTTCCCCCACCCCCACCCCATTTTAACTTATTGATTTGAATTGTCAAGTAAATGACTCCATTGCACTTAATCAGAATCATAGACTTCTGCCATTCCAATTAGAATTCGAGGCCATGCACCGGAGCGCCACATGTGTGACTCTGCTGGAGGGCTGGGCACAGCCCCTGCACCTACTGCTCTCTGGTGCAATGGTTTGCAGGATGAATCCTGCCCCGGAAGCAGAGGCCATCTGCAGTAGGCATCCAAGCTGATGCTGTCCTGTAGGTATTTGCCAAATATTTATTTTCCTCTGAAATGATGCAAACGATTTGGTGAAGCCTTCCCCAGACAAATTCAGGATGTGGAATGATTTAGCATTCAGTAAATTTCTCAACACCTTTCTGCCTCCCTCTTCCCTCTCCCCTCTCTCCTTCTCCCCACCTCACCCCCTCCCTCTTCCTTCCTCTTTGCCTTCCCTCCTCCTTTCTTTTTTACCTTCTCCTGCCCCTCACTCGGTACCTATAGCACTTGGATTATTTACAGCAAATCTTACAGATGTCAGTATTGTCTTGTTCTGAAGCTAAAAAGGACAATGAGTTCCCGCTGACCTCGGTACAATGGATCTCGCTGGAGCACAATATGTATTTTATACGGGCAGTGAAAAGCCTACAAGTAATTGAGAGAGAGAGAGAAATGTCACTGTAGCATTTCTGTTGACACTGCACTCTGCGTGTGGAGGGAAGCCCGGGGCCTGGCGGCAGAGGAGCAGCCGCGGCCGCGCTGTGCACCCAGGAACCTGTCCTTCAGGAAGGAGGTGGCGGTAGCAATTAATCTGCTCAGATTTTCCAACTAATGAAATATTCCCGGGACCGAAGGGGCCACACGGAGACGTCTGTGGCGCTGCTTCCCATTCGCGCAGATGCGCACGGATTCCGGGCCCAGCGCTAACTCGGATGTGTTTTCCACCTCTGTTTATTGTCTTCCATAATGCTTAATGTACTGTTTGTATATGTTGTCCTTGCACTATATTTTGATGTGCTCTCATATATTTTATTCATCTCTGGCTTTCTACGAAGGCAAGCTCACAGCAACACTGAGAATAATTATTTGCCGCCATCAATCAAGTGTCTCCGTGGTTGGCTCCTCTTGGGATGGCCTTGATTTTAAGCATGAAATGTAACTCTTGCTCTTTGGGGCCATTTCATTCTTTGTTCCTGCGGCCTGCCCGTGGGCTCGTCGGGACACTGGAGAGCAGGCATTCCTGTGGCCGCGGGAGAGAGAGCAGCGTTCCCGGCTGGCCATTCCCGGGGCCTCTGGAAGGGAGTGGCTGGGAGCTCTTAAGCCCTGCTTGGGGTTTAAAAGTGAAAAAGGGGCAGCTCTTCCTGGTGGAAATTGCAAGCAGAGGCTGCGTGAGTTCCGTGACTCGCACACAGCCTCCAACACAGTCTCCATTTGGAACCAGAGTGAGCATGTGTGGGACCCCGGGCGGAGGGGCCAGTGCTGACATTATGCTCCATGCAACCTCCCATCCTGGTCTGGGAGATGGTGCAGACCAGGGGAGGAAGTCAGTGTGAGAGGGGGTGAGGCTCCAGTCCTTTCCTGGTCTCCAAAGCCAAATCCTCTCTGAGTACAAGGATCTTTCATGGGTGAGTGCAGAAGCAAGGAGACAAGGAGACCTGGTCCACCCTCCCCGCTGGCCTCCTACTGCCCAGCAGCCTCTCCGCTGCTGTACCCCAAAGCCTGCAGGCTCCTAAGTGCACTATTTGGGCCATCTTGTTTGCAGTGGATATTTGAAAGACAGACCCTCTTCTCTAGTGCTGGCCTTGGGTCCCCAGAGAGCTGCTGTTTCCTGGGTTTCCAGCTCAATGGAGGCAGAAAGAGACCCCGGGGTGGCTTTGGAGGAAGGTGAGCCCCTTGGGTTAACTGAGCTTCTGTAGGGGTATACTCCTGGGTCATCACTGTTGCCACTGGTCAGAGCTGGAGTGTATCTGCCTGTGCTCTCCTCAACACAGTGGAGCTATTTCCAAGTTCAGGTGAAGGGGACGTGGAGGTTAAGCAGGGCGGGAAAGACAGACGTCCTCTTCCCCTGGTAGCAGGTATTTAGCAGATGGGAAAATATTAGCAGATGGGAAATCAGCAGATACACTGAGCTCAAGATGCAAATTTAAAAGCCGCCAGCCCCTGTACTAAATATTTACACTGAACATCTCTGCTCCATCATCCGTCTTTTATTTTTGTGAACCCATACAACTGCTCTTATTACAAAGTCATGTAAAAGTTGAGGAAAGAAAATTTCACCCTTGAAAGCAAATTCGTGATGAATTAAATTTCAGCATGAAAATAGAAAAAAAATTCAAATTTCTGTTGACTTTTGGGCTTGTGTCCTGAAAAAGTTAACATACAGTCTTCCATACATAACTTATTTGCATAAATAGTACACCCCCCAAAATTGTTTCCTTTCCCTCCTAAGTAGCTGATATTGAAACCTCCATTATTGAGCAGTTTTTAAAAATGCAATTCTAATCCCTTTATAATAGTTTCAATACCAAAATAAAACACACCTGAGCCCCCAAAAGCCACCCTCTTCGTAGACCACAAGGGCCAGATCCGCCACGTGGTTTTTGTGGACAGATTCTTTCTCTCCACATTAAAATCCTAACTGCCACGTCACGTCCTCACAGAACCTCAGCAACACTTTGACATGGATTTTCTCGCTTAGTCCTCTGGAGGCCTGTGAGGCCAGGCCTGTTACATCCCTTTACAACAGGGAGACTGAGGCTGGGATATAAAACTCACCGAGGCCCATAGATACTTGTCATGGGAAGGGCTTAAATCCGGCTTTTTGACTCCAAGTCTCTCATGCTCTCAGCCGTATCCAGGGATTGAACTGGATACTTTCAAAGGGACTCTCAATCTATAAAATTCAACAATTGCCATTTTCTATGCCAGTGGATTCACTTATTCCTCCAACAAGCGTCTGTAAGCCTGCCATGGGCCGGGCACTGTTCTGGGGTCTGGGGATATAACCATGAAGTCCCTGCCCCAGTGGGGTTTACATTCTAGTGGAGAAGATAATGAAGAAGAAAGTCTGTAATAACATTTCACATCATGGCTCTGCTGTGAAGAGAGCACAGGCAGTGGGGTTTAGGTCAGACTGGAAAGTGCCTCATAATCTACTATCTTGCAAGTTTGAAGATGGGATCGAGATTTAGAAACAGAAGGTCGATAGCAGATGACAAAATCTGCCCTTCTCCAAAGATATCCTTCATCCCCAGAATGAATGGCCCCTGCCTGCCATCCAAGGGCTTCACCTGCCTGCGTGGACTTGGTCATCCCAATTCAAACTCAGTGTACTCAGTGCCATCGCCCTGGTGATTTTTTTCACACTCAAAAATTGGATAAGAGCACAGAACTTGCCCACGTTGTCACCACAGAAAGACGCTACACTGGTGCATGAGGTAGTTACCCAAGTTACAGGCCCTGATTAATTTCACTCTGCTACTTATATTAGTGTGTGGTTACCTTAGCAACTGCAGAGTGGGTTGCTGTGGTGTCTGCGTTTGACAGCCTGAGCTTTGAAAGCCCACAGTGTGGGATGTCGGAAGGGCAGGCACATCTGGCCCAGAAGATGGCAGCGATCCCTCGGG